TCAGGATCCATTTCTACCGGCGGAATGCGATCGTCTTATTTATGAATTATTTGCGTCTGTACGTTTAGAAATTCAGATTATGACGTCATTAAATAACCCAGAATATGATTATTGTTTCTCTTGAACACTGGAGTTATTGTATTAGGCTCCATGTTTCAGGTTAAACTTAAATGATGAAACTCAAACACTCAGGAATGATCAGCCTCACGTGACTGAATGAAATGATGATACATGATGTAAAAAGCTCTCTGACTTTAATTGTTTTCATAATAAAGTTATTGAGGGAAACATCAGATTATGAAAACACAAATCTTTCTAATAAATGTAGAAAGCTGTTTGTGGTTCTTTTGTTGTTCTGCAGACGCTCTGCAGGACTGCTTTGAGTCGATGGACTGGGATGTGCTGTGTGGACCACATGGGGAGGACCTCAACAGTATCACAGAACACATCAAATTCTGTGAACAGACCACCATTCCATCCCGGACTGTATGCTGCTTCCCCATCAACAAGCCATGGATCACCAGTGACCTGAAAGCTCTTCTTAACAAGAAGAGCTTTCAGGTCTGGGGATAGGGACGAGCTCAGGAGAGTCCAGCGAGACCTGAAGGTGAAGCTCAGGGAGTGCAAGGACTCCTACAGGAGGAAGCTGGAGGTTAAACTCAAGCAGAACAACGTGAGGGAGGTGTGGACGGGATGAAGCTGATTACCGGCTTCAAGGCTGGAGGGAGACAACCAGGGGGCTCCCTGGAGAGGCCAACGAGCTAAACTGTTTCTTCACTAGGTTTAGCTCAGAGCCCTCATCTGTCTCCTCCTCACACCTCCCCCCCTCCCTGTCCTCCCTCTGTCCCCCTGGTGAGCTGCATGGACTCAGAGTGCAGAGGTCGGGTGTATGGACGGACGGACGGGAGGAGGAGGAGGAGGACAGGGAGGTAGTGGATGACGGTAGAAATCACCTGCTGTTAATTATGAATCAGATCAGAATGTTAATAATAATAATAATAATAATAATAATAAAGGATGTAAATAAGGAGACGAAGACGCTGCTCTTCAGGTCGTAGTTTTCTTTATTGAATGAAGCAAAAAAACAATGAAGAGGATTTAAATCCCCTTTTATGAAAATAAATAAATCATTTTCTTTTGTCTCACAGAAGCTCAGAAAGAATCTGCAGACGCAGATTTCTTCTTCTGCTGTCGCTTTATTTAGTTATTTATGTTTGTGTTTCAAAGCAGGAGATCTGACTTCCTGCTGACGAGAGTTCATTCAGCTGAAACACCACGAAGAAGAAAAACAAATAAAAACAGCTTCAGTTTTGGCACGAGATGAACGCTCGCGAGAGAGAAGAAGAAGAGAAGGAGGAAGAGGAAGAGGAGGAAGAGGAGGAGACAGAAGCCGAGGGGTTAAATCATAACCAGCGATGCATTTTGGTTGAGCTGATGTAGGGACGCCTGATGGCGCAGACCTCCGCCATCTTAAATCCCTAAAACAAAGAAAACAATAAAATCTCAATGTGGAAGTTAAGCGTTGCCATGGTGACTAATTAATCACAGACTTTAACGAGCCGACAGAACCAAACTAAAGCTACCTCCACCAGCTAGCAGGGCTCCCATTCGTTTACAATGGGGAGCGCTAACGATGCTAACGAGCCACCAGAAGAGATGAGAGAGAGAGAGAGGAGTGATGATGATGATGATGACGTAACACCTGCTGTTACATGCTTTAAACTCAGGCTTCACGCCACCAGAGACAACTTTTCTGTAGCAACGTTGCCTCTCAGTATGTTTGAAGTTGCCACATGTCTGGACAGAGCAACTCCGACAGAGCAACTCCACACCAGACTTCATTCAAAATGTTGCTAATTTAACACGTTTCGTTCCGGGTACGTTGTCAAAGTATTTTCCAGTATTTTAAATCAGAGTTTCAACACGATGGATTTAATGTTTCTACTTGTACATGTGCTGTAATGATGTTCTATAAGTAGTACTACATACTGATACTATAAAGTACACACTGCATCATCATGAAAGTACAACAGAGTACTCGTTCTCTGCTTGGTATCTCAGTGAACATCTGTGTTTATACGATCGTTCAGATCAAGAATCAATTCATTCATTAAAACCATTCAAACGTTTAGATCTCAGGTTTGATCTTTAATGTTCTCTCAAGGTTGGATGAACAGTGTGTGCTATGTAGTGTGCAGTCTGAGGTGTGTGTGTGAGGTGTGAGGTGTGTGTGTGTGTGTGTGTGCGCTCCAGGTGTGTCACAGGTTCTACTGCTGGTCTTTGAACGCGTCCAGGCCGAAGGCGTTGTCCAGGAACCGCTCCAGCTCCATCAGGTGAGCTTTCTTGTTTCCGGTCGCCGGAGCTGCTGCCGGCCCTCTGCCCGCATACCTGAGACACACAGAGGTCAGAGGTCAGCCCCCCCCCACACTGATACTATGTGATGAAGATGAAGATGAAGGTGATGGTTACCAGACAGGCTTGGCCCTCTGGATGGTGGTCCTGATGCGAGGCTTCACGTAGTCGTAGTAACCCTGGTTCTTGTGCTCCTCCTGACACCAGACCAGGTCGGCGTTGGCAAAGCGCTCCGACTCGGCCTTCACCTGGTCGAAGGGGAAGGGAGACAGCTGGGGGGGAGGAGTCACAGGTCACATGACTGTCTGAGCACGACGGATCATTACAGGTGAGAAATATTATCTACGAGGCCGTGGAGACGGGTCATCAGGGTGTATGCGTGTGTGTGCGTGTGACTGTGTGTGTGTGTACCTGCTCTATACGAGCGATAGCCACCGTGTCCTCCATTCCTCTGCTCTTCCTCTCTTTGGTGAGCTCGTAGTAAACTTTTCCCGTACAGAAGATCAGACGCTTCACCTCCTCAGGACGCTCCGACGCCGAGCCTCCTTCTGGGATCAACCTCAGGAAGTGAGTTCCTGGGGGGGGGGGGGAGATGAAGGTAAGACAGTGCACAGTCCAGGTCGATCTCAATAATATCATTAATATTAATAACAGTACCAGGCAGCATCTCATCAAAGCTGGATCTGGCCTCTGGGTGACGCAGCAGAGATTTGGGAGTGAAGACAATCAGCTGGAGGAACAAACAGGAAGTTCATCATGTCAGGGGCTTAACATTTTCAAAATAAAAGTCATTAAACAGCAACACTAAAGACAGGTGAACTGTGTGTGTGTGTGTGCGCGCGTCTCACAGGCTTCCTGTACGGGAGGAGGATCTGTCGTCTCAGGACGTGGAAGTAGTTTCCAGGATTGGAGCAGTTCACTACGATCCAGTTACAGTCGTAGAGCTGACGCACCGCGAAGTCCTCCGTGAGGGCCTGACGGAGACCAGAGAGGAAGATGAGTTACAGGTGTGTGTATATATATATATATATATATATATATATATACCTGTATATATACACACACACACAGTGTCACCTGGTGGTCAAGGGTCATCCTGGTCCACTTTCACAATAAAAGCTGGGTTTGGGGTCTGGATTATCTTTAGATTCACACTAAATGACTAAAGTTTTACTCAATTGTTTAGTTTATAAGTCGACATTTAAAGAGTGAAATTAATCTCTGAGCATGTGTCATCTCTTTATCATAGCGGCCACGTTTACTTCCTGTTTACTTCCTGTTTCTAGAGTGAGTTTCTGAACCACACGTCATCTTCTTTTAATTCTATCTGGATGTTTTTTGTGGTTGATATGATTTGTAGTTTATGAGTTAAAAACTACATTCTCCATCTTTATTTCAACTGTTTACTCAGGTTTTAAAAAAAGCTTTTAACCAGAAATAAAACGGCTTTTATTCTATGACCACATGATCATGATCATGACTATGATCACAGGAAGTAGCTTCACGTTCAGGCCCCGCCAAAACAAAAGTCTGCTGGCTTGACAAACTATGAAATATATGAACATTACACATGAACAAGCTTTAGAGTGGAGTGTAACTGACTGAAAGCTCTAAACGTACATATGAACTATTGATTCTACCACTGATAACATTATTATGGGCTGTGACAGCATTCCCCCCGTACTGCTGTGAATAAAGCAGCAGCAGGACTTGAACTCTGAAAAGACGTGTTGTTGCGTCTGTCTGCTGCTCATAAAAGGCTGAGGAGAGACTCGTGTTGTTTTACCGGCATGACGTCGGGGTCGTCGTTGCACATCTGGAGGAATCTCTCTGGACGAGCTGAAGAATGTTCTGGACCCTGAGGACAGGAACACTCATGTTAGAGAAGGTCCACCAGGTGGAGCTGCTTCTACCACGTCTACACTGAACTCAGTGAGAGACCGGAGATCATGAAGTGTTATGTGTAGATGGCTGTAGTCTCAGCTGTAACGTCTCTCTGTGGGTGCGTTTGATTTCATCACCATGCCCTCCATGCCGTGCGGCAGCAGCAGCACGATGCCGTTCTGTCGGACCCACTTGGCCTGACCGGGACAGATGAACTGATCGATGATGCACTGAGCCGTGTTGTGGAAGTCTCCGAACTGAGCCTCCCACAGGATCAGAGCGTTGGGACTCGCCATCGCAAAGCCCAGCTCAAAGCCTGGAGACATTAAATACGCAGAACGTTTATTATCTGCAGACACAGAACATCAGAACGTAGAAGAAACCAGCTCAAAGACAACAGAACCAAACGAACAGAACATTGATCTGCGGTTCTGAAGAAACACCGAAGCAGCAGCAGAGAGACCGGACTCACCGAGGACTCCGTACTCTGACAGCGAGCTGTTGCACACGGTGTACGGCGCCTGGTCCGGAGCGATGTGGTTCATGGGAATGCAGATCCTCTTGTCCACGTTCTGGTCATGGAGGACATGATGACGGTGGCTGAAAGAGGACAAACAGCTTCAGTCTGGAGGACAACTTGCTCTGAGCTCTTTGCAACTGAATAGGGGTGATAGGAGAATACATCTACATGTGTATCTTGAACCTGAACCAGGACTTGGTGTCAGAGGAGGTTCAGGGTCCAGGAGGCGACGGACACACCTGAGGTTGTGCTTTACCTGAAGGTTCCTCGCTCCACGTCCTGTCCCGACAGTCTGATGTGGATTCCCTCCTGTAGCAGCGATCCGAAGGCCATGTACTCCCCCAGAGCCCAGTCCACGGTCCGCTTACGAACCATCTCACCTCGACTCTTCAGAATCCGACTCAGACCTGAAACAACAAGTCACGGTCACCGAGAGCCTGAAGGCATCTCTACACTACAGTAGAATACGACTCACAGACAACATGAACCTTCCCCACTTCATCACTCACATTAAGATCAGTGTTTATTGTGTTACAAGTTTCTCTATCAGTTTGGGGGTCCTTGGCCTGAAAAACGTTGAAGACACCTGGTTTGAGATGTTCTTCTAAACACTGCAGGCTGTGTGTGTGTGAAGGTGATCGATGTCTGAGAATAAGAATGTGTTTCATGGTTTGTTGGTCAAGACATCTGGAAGAAAAGCTGGACCTTATGAAGCCTCAACCAAAACTAAGACGAATGAATGAAGTATGAGAAACGTCGTCTGACCTCCGTGGATGGTGAAGTCCTCCACGGGGACGGACGAGGCCACGGTGCCGATGTGGTTCAGGTTCTCCTCAGTCAGACCGGTGGACAGGCAGCTCATGGACTTGGGCTGTCCGTCCAGAGTGAAGAAACCTGCAGAGGACACACAGTTCAAGTAGCTGACACAGAACCAGGACCAGGACCTGAGACCTGTGACGCTGCAGAAGAAGGATATAAGGGAAGAAGAGGAGAAGAGGAGAAGAAGAAGAAGAAGAAAGAGGAGTAGAAGAAGAAGAAGGTCCTGGCTCTAGGAATTTAGTCTTGTGTCTCATGTGTCTCTGAATGGTCCCTCACCAGGCCAGGGGGAGTCCAGCCAGTGCTTGATGTGGAGGATCTTCTCATCTTTAGATCGAGCGTACGCCTCCTCACAGATCTTATCGTATTTGGCGATCTCCTCCTGAAGAAAGAGACAGAAGGTTTATTTAGAAGATGAAGAAGAGGAAGAAGTAGGAGAAGTAGGAGAAGTAGTTACCTCGTACTCCTGACGGCTCACGGCTCCCTCTGCGATCAGTTTCTCTGCATATTTCTGCAGAACCGGCTTCTGCTTCTTGATCTGTTTGTACATCAGCGGCTGAGTGAACATCGGCTCGTCCATCTCGTTGTGACCCATCCGACGGTAACACACCTGAGAGCACACACACACACATACACACACACACACGTAAATCTCAGTCTCACGAGGCTGTGGAGTCTGAACTGAAACCGTCGACGGCGTCACTGACCAGGTCGACCACCACGTCTTTGTGGAACGTGGCCCTCCACTCAGCGGCCACCTTGCAGACGTAGATCACGGCTTCGGGGTCGTCGGCGTTGACGTGGAAGATCGGAGCGTTGACGACTCGAGCCACGTCGGTGGGATACGGAGACGATCGAGCCACTCGAGGGTCTGTGGTGAAGCCGATCTGCAGACAGGAAGTGACAGCTCCGTCATCTCGGTCGGCCCGTTTATCGACGCGGCCGCGTTTGTTGTATGTTCGTTTCTGCGTTTGTTACCTGGTTGTTGGCGACGACGTGCACGGTGCCGTGCGTGGTGTAGGATGGCAGGTCAGACAGGTGAAAGGTTTCGTACACGATCCCCTGACCGGCGAATGCAGCGTCTCCGTGGATCAGGATGGACATCACCTGGACAAAGACAGAACGAGTCGGACTCTGAGCACGGATTAGAGATAAAGACAGCTAATCGTCCTCTGTGTGACAGATCTCTGTCTCTATTCTTCTAAAAAGGGTTCTTATCAAAAAGGTTGTTGGAATATCAGCTGAAATATTACTGGAAGGTTGTTATAGAGCAATAGCATGCATTCAAACCAGAGATTACAAAGTGCTGAGTGTGGAAACAGAAAGAGGAAATCCATGTTACATAAACCTAATCATACTGTGAACACATTCACCCCAAAGACCCTCACAACATAAAGGTTCAGATGATGAATATGTTGTTTTGTTGTGAGTGCTGCAAATGTAGCTGAGATTAGTTTCGCTTCCTTTTCTTTGTGTCTGAAGAGAGAGGATGTCGTACGTTCTACAGATTGTAAAACACTCCGAGGCAGCTTTGTGATTGTGAGTTGTTTTTCTGATGATTTCAGGTCGGCGAGTCGACTTGTCCTGTACGTTAGAGGAACCTCATTTTCTCAGCGAGTCAGTAGAGACAAAGCGACCGTCTGTCTCACCCGGTTGCCGTCGTTGTCTCCGCAGTAGAACTGCTCAGCTTTGGTCTTGCCCTGCACCACGGGGTCCACGGCCTCCAGGTGAGACGGGTTGGCCATCAGGGACAAGGTGATGTTCCTGTCGGTCACGCGATTGATACGACGATGGTACATCCCCAGATGGTACTTCACGTCTCCAGAGCCCTGAGGAGGAGAAACCACAGCAGAGTCCCTGAAAATAACATCCAGAACTACCAAAACAGTCCAGCAGTGTCACCAGTAGGAGGACATCAGCAGTACTAGTGGTGAAGCTGGACCTTTTGTTATCAAAGGCCTGATGTGATTTACACTCTCGGGCTGTTTTAGACCAATTTAAACGACTAATTTATGGCAAAACTGGATTTATAAATGAGATTTGCATTAATGTAGATATTTAATTTGAATTAAATTCATTCTGTAAAGAATCTTTATCTGGTTGAGTTAACGATGCCTTCAGTGTTTGGATCCCAATGACTGCCTGTTGATCTGATTATTACAACAGCTGTAATAACGGCAGCTGTAATAACAGAAGTGTAATAACAGAAGTGCAATAACAGAAGTGTAATAATAGTAATAGTAATAAGAGCAGGTAAATTACCTCATCAGCTGCTTCCAGTTTGGAGTCAAACTGACAGAAAATCTGTTCCAGCTCTTTACGGATCACGTTGGCCAAAACATTCAGACGACCCCTGAAAGAAGAAGTATATGTATAAATATACAGTAATATATGTATACATATATATACATATAGACACATATATATACATATATACTGTATACACACACACATATACATACATACACACACACATACATACACACACACACACACACATATATACACACACACACACATACACATATATATA